ATATTAATTTTTATAATTTAAATATATTATTTAAATTATTAACTTTTAATAAATTATTATTTTGAGTCGAACATGAAATTAATTCGAACAAATAAATTTGAATTAAACCGAACACGAACAGACTATTAACAGACCATGTTGAATAGAGTAGAACATGAATGATAAGAAATTCAAATAACCCAAACATAAAAATCCGTCGGCCCTCTCAAACTCGGCCGTTTACACCCCTACCAACAACGCACCATGCAACAAATTTCATCACAAGCACCCACATTGGCTTCTAATCATATATCACAAAGCAATAAAAAATGCAGGCTCATATAATAAACTATTAAGAACTAAGAAGACGCCTTGTATGATAAAATTCTTTTTATGTATATACAGAACCACATGTGCTTATTCTCTACAGCCACCCAAATGGCCACACTGACATAAATAACATAAGCCTTTCTAATAATTACAACAGCAATAAACCTTCTCTGTCGGCCAAATTTGACAGGTGGGAAAGATGAAAGAAATCCCACACACTAACTTTGCCTAACAAGATTTCAAATCCAACAAAACCACAATCTATCCAAGCAAACAATGCTCTAATTTCGTATAAAATTTGATGCCGTTAGCTTAAAACTGGGACCATTCACCTTCATGAAAGGAGCCCCAACAGGTCTATCTTTTAAAGCAGCAGTTACAAAGCCGCCGGTATCAGAGTTTGGCTCGCTGGTATCACCATCCCCAGGCCTGGCCCAGATTTTTATGTGGCCTTCGCGACATATCGTGACGACTGATTCTTTAGTGAAGACTAAACCGGACAAAGGTTCCACGTGGACACGGTGAGCCGAAAGAGGGGCGAGCTTCGGGACATCCCGCATGCTTGGAGGTGGCTGAAGGGTGCCTATGGATGGGGTGGAATCCCAGTGAGCAGAAGAATGACCTCCGCCACTGAGTGTAGGTGAGCCGCCATGAGGTGTATAGCGTTGTGGCACGACGATTTCATCCATTTCTAGGTCCCATAGAAGTAGCCGAGTGTCCTGCGAATGAGATAAAGCATTATTCGCCCGCAGCCGCATAACAAGCTCAAAATATTCTTATTTATGCTGCACTATACATAGGGCTGTAAATGAACCATTGCTCTTGATGAACAAATAAAATTCGGCTCGATCAAATTAGTAAATAAACTAGTTAAACATTATTTTAAAACTCAAAAATTAAATGAACCAAATTTGAACATAGTCCTATTCTTTTATAAATGTTCACAATCTCATTTACTTTAAAAAAATGACTAATTAACATCTATGATATATTATTTAAGTAAATTTTGATTAACTAAAATGTATTTAATTATATATTTAATAGTTATATATTATAATTTAATACTAATATGCATGTAAAAAATTTAATTTAATTTTCTAGTTTTTTTATTTCAATGAACTAATTTGTTATTAGCACTTTTATATGATATTTTATTGTAAGAAAGCTTATTTACAACTTATAAATTATTTTATCTTAATATACCAATATGCATGTAAAAATTTAATTTAATTTTCTAATTTTTTATTTCAATGAACTAATTTGTTAGCACTTTTATGTGATATTTTACTTTAAGAAAGCTTATTTACAACTTATAAATTATTTTATTTAATTGATGTAGATTAATTAGATGATAATTTAGAATATAATTAATTTCTTATTTATTTAGATTTGTAAAATTATTTGTTAATCACTTTATATAAAAAGTAAAGCACAAATCAAAATTTTAAATTTCCATGGAACATCAAGTATTCATTTGAATTTTAAATTAGTTCAATTAATTTAAACAAGCCAAATCCACGTCAAGTATGATCATTACAAATGTTAAGCAAACCAAGTAATGAGCACATATGCGAAAATTCGGCTCAAGCTTGAAATGAATATGAACAATGTAAGATTCGTCCAAGCCAAATTCAATCAAGGACAATCAACTTGACTCGGCTTGATTACAGACCTGAGCTTACTATAAAATAAGTTTAAAGATATGTCGTCATCGAGGTGGGTCAGATTGAGCTTCAAAGTCAACAACATTGTGATACATTGATGATCAATCAAAATTTATATTGCATTCACTTTAAAACAAATCCAACAATTTTGAGATGTATTGACCAGGATATTTCGAACGCTTTATTTTCTTTACAATGAAAAGTAAATAAACATACTTAAGAATTTATTTGATTGAAGACCCGAAAATGTAAATTATGGATTTTATAGCAAAAGTTATACACAAATTTTAATTAATATGTAAATTTATTGTTTGTTCTGACATATAGTCTAGGGTTGCAGTCAAATGATACATGGGTATACACTTGAATCATACGTGCTGCTAGTCTAAAAGGAGTATAATCAGAGGCAATAGATCACATGGGTTTAATCAAGCCCTTGAATTAGTTATTCATATACCTGACCAACAGATCCAAAACGGTACATAGCATTTTCTCCGATTCCATCAGAATTTCCATCAGAATTTGGAGCCGACCAAAAAGAATCAAAAGCAACACCGCTCACCTGTTTGATTAGCTTCACAGTGAGAACTCTAGGAGAAAATAACTATTAAAATTAAAAGAAGATTTACACACAAGCCACTCAATTCCTATGTATTTACATATCTTATATCTAAACTTCAATTTTTACATATATGCCACTTTATCTATATGTAAACAGGTGCTTTTCACTTTTTCTAAAGCTAAAATAGTGGTATTTTTTATGTGATATGAAAGATTTGAGGGGTATAAATCTAAAAAGTTAAGTTTAGGTGTTAGAAATATAAATACATAGGAATTATACGTAGGAATTAGGAGGTATGTATGTAAACAGAGCACAACATTAAATTATGATTTACCCATGAATTATGCCCCTCCCCCCATGCAACTATTTTTCGAACATCCATGCTCCAAACTTGTACTAGGTCATCTTCACCACCAATTAATATGTATTTCCCATCAGGACTAGAAATAATAGACCACAAAATATAAAGGTTAGACTCCTGAAAATTCTCTCTTAAACAAAAATCAGAACACAAAAACTGCTGAAAATGGTAGACAATATAGATGCTAATTCACAGTCCAGCAAACTCACTGAAAAGCAACCAAAAAGAAAAAAAGAAAAAAATAATAATGGTGAACATATAAAAAAAAGGTCAGATAAAAGAAAATGGGTAGAGTAACAATTTTTCCAAAGGAAATAGTGCAATGCAGTACCAAGTGAGGGGCACTTTTGTTAACTAAAACACCCATCATAACTTACACATTCTTTATACATTAATTTTAGCATAAAAATTGAAAATTATATCAGAGAATTTCCAACAAAGGTAATGACATATGCTATACTAATAATGAAACATGATACTTCAAGAAATAAGTTCGAAAAAAATAATTAAAAGAAAAACTAAAATTGAGAAAGAATGCTATAGTGTGCAACTGATTTGAATCACACTTAGAGCTGAACCAGTATATTCCAGCTAATGCAACTAAGCAAAGAATTGATTTAACTTCAAATTCATATAACGCTATATGAATTGAAAATACTTCCAACAACAAAAATCAAAAGAGTTTAATGCAATAATAAATGAAAAAGGCACCATCAACATCCTCTCTTTTTTAACCATAGTGTATGTACCTTCTCATGATGATGAAAAAAAAGGCTTTTGGAGGATTATCATCTACTGGTTGCAAGTGTTCCTCTAAATTGGCAATCTGTGATGAATTTAATGGATAGCATTTTTCAAATTGAAAATTCTCATGATAGTTCACAGTGTGAATTTAAATTCTTCATTGACTTCATCACTGAATTTATTTTAGTAAATATTCCTATGAATTGAAGTATACTCGGTCCAGTAAAAGAGAATGAATTTCTTGTTAAACTGAATAATTTATCTCTTTTCCACTGTAGTTAGAAAGCTTTTCCAAATTCCGGTGGAAAAACCGTTAATGAAATATTCTGACATTGAGCTCTTATATTTGATTATAATCATACACCCTAATTTAGATCTCATATTTTATGCTTTAATTGGACGTTTTCTTTGAGGAGGGAATTAAGAAGATAATTCTTGATTGGTTGAAAGAATTTCAAGCTGAAGGAGATCATATTTTTTCGTTTTTTTTTTTTTTTTAAAGCAAACAATCCTTGCTTGATTCCATAAATGAAAATAATTGTGTTCTCTCTAAATGAAAATAAAGCTAAGACACTTCTTTGCACTCCTAAAGAAATTAAAGAATATGAACAAGGTAACAAGCAGCTTTTCAATATAATGAATAAGAGAAGCATCATTATCAAAACACTTAAGTTAAAACTTGAACAGTGAAAACAATACTTCGTTCTTAAATTGCAAAATAGAAGGAAGATTAATTTTATTCATAATATAAAATGATAATCAAAATCTATCTGACCAAATGTCCTTTAAAATTTTTAGATTAATGTTTGAGGCCTTTACAAAATACTTCAAATGGTTATTTATCAATCACACACTGGCTGTTTATGCTTTTGGACTTCAACAATGTTTATACATTTTATAATTCCTCTGCCATTAGTTCTCTTGATGTTCCTTTCTCCATGGAAAAAGTAAACGCATAGTATTTTCATTAGGTGTTAATAAATCTCCAAGCCCAAATGACTTCTCTCCTAAGTTCTTCAAAATAATGCCATTTATTTAGATCTTCTGTCCCTGTTCAATGATACTTTCACCGGTAACGCTTGATTCTCTGGACTCACCTTAGTTATCATTTTTCTAATATCTAAAAGACACAATTGTGAAATTATTAAAGATTTCAATTATTAAAGATTTCAAGCTCGTAAGTATTTTGAATAGTGCTTTCAAAAACTTCCCAGAATTTATCCGCAAAAGATTAAATCCTTCTATGTTAAAGTTGTTTGATATTATGTAGGCACTTTATTGTCAAGATAACTACTATAGATGGTTTATTGCAACCCATAAAATTATCTACAAAACCCAACAACAAGAACAAGCCTTTATCCCACTAAGTGGGGTCAGCTACATAAATCCTTTTTCTCCATTGTGTCCTATTGAGCTTCATATTTTCATTTAATTCTAATAGCTTAAGATCATTTTTTATACAATATGCTCAAATCTTTTTAGGTCCTACCTCTGTCTTTTTTAACATAAGTTGAATCTAAAAGATCTACTCTCCTAATTGGATCATCAAATGGTCGACGTTTAATGTGACCAAACCATCTAAGACGACTCTCTCTAATCTTGTCTGCAACTGGAGCTACACCAGCGCTTCCATGCATAGATTCGTTTCGTATTTTGTCTCTAAGAGTCAGGCCACTCATCTAACTAATTCTCATCTCAGCAGCACTTAACTATTTTTTGCTTCTATTTTAAAAACCAAAATTCTGCGCCATAAAGCATTGTAGGTCTCAGCACCAACTTATAAAATTTTCATTTAAGTCAAAGTGGTACTATTCTATCACACAATAGGGTTGATGCATTCCTCCACTTCAACCAACCAATTTGAATTCTACTAATAACATCCCCTTCTATATCACCATCACTTTTAACAATAGAACTGAGATATCTATAACGTTCACACTTTTTTATGATTTGATCAACAATGGTTATAACTCTACCTCTATAGCTGCTACTAAAATTACATTCCATATATTCAGTTTTAGATCAACTCAAACCAAAGCCTTTAGAATCCAAAGAGACCTCCATAATTCAAGTTTTTCCTAAACTTCTTCACTAGTCTTATCCATAGAAGGGATATCATCAGCGAATAGCATACACCAAGGTACATCCTCCTGTATATGTCCAGCAAGAGCATCCATAACTAAAGCAAAAAAATAAGGGCTTAAAGCTGATCCATGATGTAATCCAACTGAAATAGGAAAATACTTGGTCAATCCTCCCTCTATTCGAACACAAGTCACATCACTAGTATACAAATCTTTAATCACTTGAATATAAGTCATATCAACACCTTTCTTTCCTAGAACTCTCCAAAAAACATCTCTTGAAACCTTATTGTAAACTTTTTCTAAATCAATAAAGATCATATGTAAATCCTCTTTACTATCTTTGTACTTCTCCATCAAAGTTCTCAATAAATCTATAGCTTCCATAGTAGACTTGCCCAACATAAATCCAAATTGATTATGAGAAATCTTTGTATCACGTCCTATGTTTAATTACTCTCTCCTATAATTTTGAAGTATGACACATTAACTTAACACCTCTATAATTTGCACACTCTTGTGCATCCCCTTTATTCTTAAAAATGGGGACCAAATTACTCTTCCTCCACTCCTTAGGCATCTTTGTAGCTTTTTAAATAATTTTAAAGAGTTTAGTAAGCCTAAAAAACTCCCAAATTTACTCTTCCTCCACTCCTTAGGCATCAAACTCCCACACGTTAATAGGAATATCATCAAACCCTATTGATTTTTCATCCTTGGTTTTCTTTAAAGCCTCATCAACTTCCATTTTACTAATGCAGCGGTAAAAATGAAGAGTTTTATCATTATTAATGACATTAAGATTATTAAGTTTGATCGTATTATAAAACAATCTACACACCCACAACAGGAAAATAGATGAATTCATCTTCATGGTGAATGAACTTTGAAAAGAGTTGATAGCTGCAACTGGAACTTTATCTTGGACATTCCAAAGGGCAGATTTACAAGTTGTTTAATTTTATTTAGTTGCCTTTATTGTAACAGAAGAGTATTCTAGATGGTTTACTGCAACCCAATAAACTATCTACAACACCCACAATAAGAAAACGGATAAATTCATATTCATGGTGAACTTTGAAAAGGAGTTTGATAGATGCAATTGGAATTTTATCTTGGACATTCCAAAGGGCATATTTTTTTCCCCTCTTTATTTCTTGGATCAAGGCTACCATCAGCATTAAAAACTATCAAGTCATTGTTAATGAAGAAGTCGGTAAACAATTAGAAGTGTTATGAAGGTTTTAGACAAGGTGATCTTCTCTCCCCTAGCTTTCTCTTTATTTTTTTAATTATTATTTTTTAATAATGATGTTAAAATTGGTAGTTAACACTGCCGTTGCCGGTCCCAAGCTCGGATGAGAAAAGTGGAGGGTTGCGTTAGGTAGTCGACAGCCAGCGTAAAACTTGTCGAAAAAATCATGACATGAATCCTTTTGATCATTGTGTAAGTGCTAGGGCGTCCCCTGGAAGCGACACGCTGTATAACTTGAATACAATGAAAAGTGTGCAAGGGCCGCTACACCGGCGCCCGGGTGTAGTGTTAAATAAGCAAGGGTTCCCACATTACGGGCGAATGCGGGTAAAGAAGTTAGTCCATGAAACTAATGAAACTAATATTAGGATAGGATCTTGGAATATAGGCACTCTCAATGGTAAATTAATGGAATTAGTTGATATTATGATTCATAGGAAAATTAATATCTTATGTATTCAAGAAACTAAGTGGGTGGGAGAAAAGGCTAAGGAGATTGATAATTTAGGTTTTAAACTTTGGTATTCTGGTAAGAGTCGCACTAGAAATGGTGTAGGTGTAATTATAGATAAGAGTTTGAAAGATAATGTTGTAAAAATTAATAGAGTTGGTGATAGAATTATAGCCCTTAAGATTATCATTGATACTAAGATTTTTAATATTATAAGTGGTTATGCTCCTCAAGTAGGTTTAGATACA